TTTCTTTTCTTCTCTCATCTTTTCCTCCCCTTCCTCGTTTTCTCTAACTTTCTATTTCTTTCCTCACTAGCTCTCCCTCCCTCTCATTTTCCCCTTCTTTCCTCACTAACTCTCTCCTTTACTCTTTCTCCCTTACCTCCCTCTTAATTTTTTCTTCACCTTTCCTCCTACTCTCCCTTCCCTCTTCTCCCCTTTCCCTCCTCTACTTACATTATTTCCACCTTTCCCTTCCTCCCTTCCCCTTCTTTGCCTGCTCTACTCTCCCCTCTCCATTCCCCTCTTACCTGTTCTCCCCTCTCGCTACATCGCTCTCCACCAACTCTCGTTTTTCCCTATTCCACATTCTACGTTTTTATCACGTCACCCTTGCTCCTGACAGCCATCTCTTCCAAGTTATTCCATTTCCGTGTCTCTTCCATCATCCTCCACCCCCCCACCCCCCCATGATTTCCCTCAATCTTCCATTTCACTTAATCTTTCTTTTCCCCTTTCTCTTACCTCTCTTCCTTGTTATCTCTATTTTCTCTGAACATCTCTCTCTCTTTTCTCTATCTACCTCTTCTCCCTTATTTTTCCGAGTTTACTAGTATTCTCCATCCCCTTTAATTATTCTTCTTTCCTCGTTCTTAATAGTTTCCTCTCTCTCTTCCTATTTCCTTCCTCTCCTTTTCCCCCATTAACTTCCCTCTCTTTCCATACCTCACCGTGTTTCCTACTCTCCCTCGTTTCCCTCCAAAGACAAGGTTGTTGACGGAAGGGAGGGAGGGAGGGAGGGGGGGGGGGACACAGACTGACCGAAGACTGCAGTAATCCCTCAGTCTTGCTATTTAAGTATAAATTAAGAATGTGTTTACGAATAATGTATACAAAAATATATGCAGACACGAATAATGTTTAAAATTATTTGTATACACGAACAATGTATAAGAATATAAATATACTTTTTTGATAAATGGAAAAATAGACGGTATAGGTTGAAGAATAGACGGTAACTTAGCTATACTGACAGCTTGAGAAACAAAAGACTGCCCTCACACTCTGCCATTATCCCTCACCTGTCTTCACCTGTCCAACCTGTATCGCTGAGATAGGTGAAGTGACCGAGCAACACACCAAGACGATGATGCTACATTACCAAACTAGACTTAAACAACACTTGACTGGTCGACTCCGTCCGTCACCTTGAAGTATTGACCCATCTCGATCAAAAATCAACAGCCGGCCAACAATAGTCGTCCGGACACAAGAGAATGGGGGGGGGGGAGAGGGAGGGGAGAGGGAAGTGTTTATTTCATCGTGTGAGATAACCAGAATGTGTGATAATCCCTCAGTCTCAGGAGGTTTGATCTAATTAAATTACTTATCACCGTCAGACTTGTATTTTTCCATTATTTTTTTTCACTCTCACTTCCTCTCTCTCTATTTTTAAGCTTTTATTAGTTTTCCTCTTCTCACTTCACCTTAAAAGCCTATTCATAAGAGAGTAGGAAGGTATGTTAGAAGAAGGGCATATGGGTAATATTTCCACACCAAGTTTCCCTCCCTGTATTTTGTTGAACGAGTATAAACACGAGGTGGGCGTAACACCACTGGCCGTCTTCCCCAGCAGTAAAAGGTCACGATGATCCAGCTGTCAGGTGTAGCTGGCTGGTATTAAATTATCAAGGTCGTGAGGTGAGTTGAGTGTAGTGTGCTGCAGCAAGACTTATAGACTATACAAGTGACCTAGTTTTGAAGGAGGGGACCAGATGTTGTGGGATGGCCTCTCACACGTCAAGTTATACTGAACTGTAAATATTTTAGTGGGAATAGTGACCAGGTGAGAGAAGAACAGGTAAACCTATAATTTAGCATGACCAACCCGTCTATCTACCCCCAGAAACATGTTAGTGATCAGGTCTTGTGAGAGGTTACAAGGTACCATTGGGTGATCATGACTGTAAGGTTCCGACAGTGTGTTTTGTTGCATTACTGAATGACAAGTAATGAGGATAACTATGAGGTACTTGGTCCTCGCTAACCAGATAATATATCCCTCAAGACTCTGAAATTGATAGTTTGGAGACATGAAGTCGAGATCACTTGGCCCGTACAGGATTGGGTAAAGGTTACAGGTTAGGGACCATACTCTAGTAAGATCAGGAACAGTGGCGTTAATTTTCGTGACCTAGTGTCTTCAGTAACTCTGCAGCCCACAGTAGATGTAAGCCACACACCCCGAGACACACACCTAATGCACCTCAGGGGCTTACCCGTGTCCCCGGTGGGCCAAAACCCATTACCACCACCACAGTCTAGGGAGGCGTGTACGATGAAATCCTTTCACCGTACAGGTATACCACCAGGTATACCATTCTGGCTAGGGATCGAACCCAAGGCTTACAAATCCAAGATGGACATTCTGACAATTCCATGAAGCCATGAAGCGACAGACAGACAGACAAACTAATATACTTATAATAATAAACGGGACTGCCCAGTATGGGCCAATAGGCCCGCT